AATCAACATGATGAATGACCTGGCACCTGAGTTGCGCAGGAGGAAGAGAGCGGCTTGGAATGCCTTCAAGAGCATTGAAGAAATAACTAAAAGGACAAAGAACCTCCAGCTACGAGCACATCTCTTTGATTCCACTGGTCTTCCTGCATTAACATATGCCTCAGAGACCTGGACCCTACGAAAACAGGATGAGAACGCTATTCTGGTCTCTCAAAGAGGAATCGAAAGAACTATGCTTGGAATATCACGATTCACTCAAATGAGAGATAGAATCCGGAGTTCTGATCTTCATCAACGCTCAAGAATCAGGGATGCTGTCTCATTTGCCAAGACATCAAAAATCAGATGGGCTGGACACGTAATGAGGTTTACAGACAACCGCTTAACTAGAGCCATTACTGATTAGATTCCACGGGACATCAAAAGATCACGTGGACGCCCACCTATAAGATGGTCAGACTTCTTCGTCAAGACCCTAAATGATCGGTTTGAGGCTCTGCATGTTCCTAGAACGAATAGATACCATTGGGCTACGCTAGCACGCAACCGGGATGAATGGAGATGTTACTGGCACCTGCTCGAATAAATCGATGAATAACGGGGATTAAGTGATTAAGTGATTGATTCTGGGCATAGGAAGAAGGAAGTGATAGTGAGGGTAAGACTTGCTAAAATCATGGAAAGAAGTAGTGGTAATGAGGTCAATAGGAGAAAAATCAATTTAATACTTCCTAACAAACACTCTCCAGCATTGCAGACAGCCAACCCATGGAAGTGCAAGTCCCCTCTTGGCCAAGGTGACCCCCGAGCACCCAGATCAGAGGGGATCCTGGCAAATTTTAGGACTGTGCCAGAAATGGAACTTTAATTCTGCACAGGGCCCAATGCGGCCAACTCCCCCACAGGTACAGTGGTGGTGGGAGGCATGGCCTTCAGGGAAGTGGTGGGTCACAAGGCTGCAGTTATTTTTCCCTTTCCCAGAGCTTTAGACTCACATTTCAATCTCCATTACCTTATTCTGAGGACAGCCTGGCTATCCCAAACACATTAGGCCAATAGTCCACTAGCCGATTCCAATCTCACCAAAATAACAGAGAACACAAGAATCTGAACAAGCCTAATAGAAAAGAACACAACCCCTGAAGCTGCACTAGAGGCCTCACATAAGTCACATAGGAGCACCAAAGAGGAAGTTAGTATTCTAGAAGGGGAAAAAGGCTACCACCATTGACTGAGCTCATTCAGAATCCTTTCTCGCAGCGAGAGGGCGACACTAATAATGAACTGGAGGGTCCCACCTCCATACTACTACAGCAACATGAAGAAACAGCGCAAATCCCCACCATAAGGAGTGGATGAAGAAAAGAGGCCAGAAACCTCAGAAGCTAATATCCAAAAATAAAATCTCTCCAATAAAGAACTCAGAGATGAAATGTTGAGAATGTTCAATTAGCTCAAAGAAATGGTGGAAGAGGCACTCAGTAAATTAAAGGAGGATATGAAAGAAACAGTGGAATGGACAGCCAAAAAATACAGGAAGAAATGAGAGCAGAAATAAGAAAGTTACAAATAGAAGTGTCACTAGTAAAAGATTTGGTTGATAAAATTAAATGCTCAGTTGGTGCCCTCAACAGTAGAATAAAAACAGCCAAAGACAGAATCAGTGAGCTTGAAGATGAGCTGCATAAAGTATACATGGAACAACATGTAATGGGAAAAGACCTTAAAATAGTGCTAGGACAAATAGGAAACCTAGGGGATGGATTAAAGAGGAAAAACATACTCATTGCAGTAGCAGAAGGACAGGGAGACAACCCTAATTAAGTAGCAACAGTTTTAAAGATATCATTGTGGAGAAGTTCCCTGGAGAATCCAGGCATCCAGATCTAAGAAGCTAGAAGGGTACCAGCTAAAAGATACCCGAATAAAAAGACTCCAAACATATCATAATCAGAACAACGAATACCACAGGTAGAAACATAATACTTCAAGAAGCAAGGTCAAAGAAGGAAATCACATAGAAAGGAGCACCCCTTAGATTTAGAGCAGACTTATTAGAAAAAATCATCCGCGCCCAAAGACAATGGTGGGGTATAATGAAAAAATAAAATGAATGCCTCACCAAGAATACTTTATCTTGCAAAACTCTCACTCAAACTCAAGGAACGATACACTATTTCATGTATAAACAACAGCTCAAGAACTTTATAAACTAAAAATGAACCTTAAAAGAAGGACTTTAGGGGCAACTGTAAGACAATACAAACCTACGAACCCCTACAAGCACATCAAACCTCTACGGAAAGATGGCACAAAACCCATGACAATAATCTCTTTCAATGTCAATGGTCTAAATGCACCAATTAAGACACTGAGTGGAAAAATGGATTAAAAAACTGAATCCAACATTCTGCTGCCTACAAGAAACACATCTGAAAAGTCAGAACAAAACACAGACTCAAAGTCAAAGGATGCAAAATAATCTTTCAAGCAAACAACTCCTTCAAAAAAGCCGGGGTGACCATATTGGTATTTGACAACATATTTCAGGCTGAAAAAATTAGAAGGGACAGTGAAGACCATCTTTTAATAATCAAGGTATATGTACATCAGAAAGAAATCACACTTTTAAACATATGCACCCAATGAGGGGCCAGCCAAATGCTTAAAACTGCGAGTAGACTTCAAGGAGGACATTGATAGCAACACAATAGTAGTTAGAGAATTCAAAACTGCCTTACCACCTCTTGATATATCAAAGAGATTAAAACTCAACAAGAAATTACTAGCTTTGAAGAAAGAAAAGAAGAGATAGCTAATAGATGTATAGGGCTTTCCATTCCTCCAAAATAGAGTAGACATTCTTTTCCAGTGCACATGGAACCTTTTCCAAGATAGACCATGTGCTGGGCCACAAAACATACCTCAGTAGAATCAGGAAGTTAGAAATTGTATCAATTATCTTTTCTGACCATGATGCACTGAAGATAGAAATTAATAAAATGCAGAAACAGAGAATCAAATAAAATACTTGGACATTAAACAGCTCAATGATGAACAACAAGTGGGTCAGAGAGGAAATCAAGGAAGAAATCAAAAGATTCCTGGAAGCAAATGAGAATGAAGACACAAGCTACCAGAACTTGTGGGAAACAGCTAAAGTAGTGTTAAGGAGAAAATTTATAGTTCAGCAAGAGCTTCTCCTACATAAATAACTTGACATCACAGCATGAGATTTTAGAAAATAACCAACAAAGGGAAACCAAATCAAGCAGGAAGAAGGAAACAATAAAACTTAGAGCAGAAATTAACAACATGGAAACCCAAAAAACTATCTGAAAGATCAATGAAACCAAGAGCTTGTTCTTTGAGAAAATAAACAAGATTGACAAACCACTAGCAAGACTCACAATGAAAGAGAGAGAACCCAAATAAACCGAATCAGAAATTAAAAGGGGGGCATCACAACAGAAACCAAAGAAATTCAAAAGATAACCAGAGATTACTTGGAAAGTTTGTATGCCGTGAAACAAAAGAACCTAGAAGAAATGGATAAATTCCTGGATTCCTATAACCTCCCAACGCTGGTTCAAGAAGATTTGGAATTCCTGAATACACCTATTGCTATCAAGGAAATTGAAACAGTAATCAAAAGTCTTCCCAAAAACAAAAGCCCAGGTCCAGATGGATTCACTAGCGAATTCTTCCAAACATTTAAAGAGGATCTATTGCCAGTCTTTTCAAGCTTTTCCAAGAAATTGAAGAAACTGAAACTCTCCCAAACACTTTCTTTCTTTCTTTCTTTCTTTCTTTCTTTCTTTCTTTCTTTCTTTCTTTCTTTCTTTCTTTCTTTCTTTGCTTTTTGGGTCACACTCAGCAATGCTCAGGATTACTCCTGGCTCTACACACAGGAATTACCCCTGGCTGTGCTTGGGTGACCATATGGGATGCTGGGAATTGAAGCCGGGTCAGCCATATGCAGGGCAATTTGGCCCTACCACTGTACTATCACTCCAGCCCCTCTCCCAAACAGTTTCTATGAGGCACATATTACCATAATACCAAAAGCAGACAGAGACACCACAAAAAAAGAAAATTTACAGACTGATATCTCTGATGAACACGGATGCAAAGATTCTCAACAAAATATTAGCCAACAGAATCCAGCAACTCATCAAAAAGATCATACAACATGACCAAGTGGGATTTATCCCAGGGATGCAAGGATGGTTTAACATTCGAAAGTCAATCAATATAATCCATCATATCAATAAAAGAAAAGATAAAATTCATATGATCATATCAATAGATGCAGAGAGAAAGCATTTGACAAGATCCAGCACCTGTTTATGTTAAAAAATCTCAGCAAAATGGGCATCAAAGGAACTTTCCTCAATATAGTCAAAGCCATCTACCACAAGCCCACGGCAAGCATCATTCTCAATGGGGAAAAACTAAAAGCCTTCCTTCTAAGATCGGGCATAAGACAAGATTGCCTGCTTTTGCCACTCCTATTCAATATAGTACTGAAAGTACTGTCCATAGCAGTTAGGCAAGAAAAAGATAACAAGGGCATGCAGATAGGAAAGGAAGAATCAAACTATTTGCAGATGACATGATACAATATTTAGAAAATCCTAAAGATCCTACAAAGGCTCCTAGAAACAATAGGTTTATATAATAAAGTGACATCTTACAAAATCAGTATCAATAGTCCATGGCTTTCCTATATACATATAATGAAAGAGAAAAGAGACATTAAAAAAATTATGTTCACAATAGTGCCTCAAAAAATCAAGTACCTTGGAATCAGCTTAACTAAAAACATGAAAGACCTATACAAAGAAAACTACAAAAACATACTCCAAGAAATAAAAGAGGATACAGGAAATAGAGACACATCCCCTGCTAATGGATCAGAAGGATTAAAATTGTCAAAATGGAAATACTCCCTAAAGCATTTTACAGATTCAATGTGGTCCCTATAAGGATACCATGATGTGCTCGCTTTGGCAGCACATATAGTAAAATTGATATGATTTTAAAGAGAAGATTAGCATGGTACCTGCACAGGATGACATGCAAATTTGTGAAGCATTTCATATTTTTGAAAAGTACATGCTGTAGAGGTAAGCAGGAGATGGAGGGTAGAGGGTGATGGGAGGGAAATGGGAACACTGGTGCTGGGAAATGTACACTGGTGTAGGGGACGGGTGTTGGAATACTGTACAAATAAAATCCAATAATGAACAGATTTGTAAAAGATATATATGCATATAAATGTGTATATCTATGAAATACTCACATAAAAATGTATCATCCCTATAAAAAGGGCACCCATGATATTTTTCAAACAAATAGACAAAACACTCCTAAAATTCATATGGAACAATAAACCCCCATGAATAACTAAAGAAATCCTTGGGAAAGAGAAGATGGATGGAATCACATTCCCCAAATTCAAACTGTACTACAAAACAGTTGTAATTAAAATGGCAAGGTATTGGAATAGAAACAGACCAATGGAATAGAGTTGAATATTCTGAAACAGCTCTCAAGTATAGGATCATTTAATCTCTGATAAAGGAGCAAAAAAAAAGTGAAGTGGAGCAAGAAAAGCCTCTTTAACAAGTGGTGCTGGGAAAACTGGGCAGCTGCATGCAAAAAAAATGAATTTACACCTCTGTCTAATGCCAAGCACAATAGTCAGATCAAAATGGATTAAAGAGGACCCGTGAATGCCAGCCGCTGCCGGACACCAGCCTGGGGCACCTGCCTCCACTTCTGCAGTGAGCGCCAGCCCAAGTAGTTGCTGCCCCCCTCTCCCCCACAACAGGTTTGTGGACTTGCATCTGGACTGGCTGAGGGCGTGGCTTCCACTGTAGGGTGCATGGCCTCCTCAAAAGTGCGCATGGCTTTCTGTGTGAGAGTTATACTTCCCACTCCTAGCACTCTCGACGCACATCTCAACCTTCATCACTTAATTCTGTGGAAAACGTCCTGGCTACCTCAAACACAATAGAACAATAATCCACTGGTCTACTCCCATTCCAACAAAAAACCAGTGTACCCCAGAAGCTGTACAAACCCAATATAAAAGAGCACCTCCTCCAACGCTTCACTCATTGCTTATCATAAACCACAGAATAATATCTGAGAGGAAGGACATATTCTAGAAGGGGAGAAGGGTGACCACCATTGACCAACTTATTGATAATCCTTTCCCACAATAAGAGGGAACAGTGCTAGTGAATTTCAAGATTTTACCTCTGTACAACCACAACAGCATGAAGAAATAGCGCAAATCTCCACTACAAGGAGCGGACGAAGAAAAGAGTCCCGAATCCTCAACAGGGGTTATCCACAAATATGAGCTCTCCAATAAAGAATTAAGCAGTGAAATGCTGAGGATGTTCAAGGAATTCAAAGAATCAATGGAAGAGACATCCAGAAAATTAAAGGAAGAAATGAAAGAAACATGGAACGGATAGCCAAGAAAATACAGGAAGAAATGAGAGTAGAAATAAGAAAACGACAAAAAGAAATGTCACAAAAAAAGGACTCGGTAGAAGAAATTAAAAACTCACTGGGTGCCCTCAGCAGTATAATGTCTATAGCCAAAGACAGGATCAATGAGCTTGAAGATGAAACCGTATAGGGAACAACAAACAATGGGAAAAGACATCAAAATAGCTCTAAGGCTAATCAGAGATCTGGAGATGATGCCAAGAGGAACAACATTAGAATCATCGGAGTACCAGAAGGACAGGGAGGCAACCCCAATGAAAAAGCCACGGTCAAAGAAATCATTGCTAAAAATTTCCCAGAGTTAAAGAATGCAGACATTCAGATCCAAGGATCCAGAAGGGGACCAGTTAAAAGAGATCCTAATAAAAACACTCCAAGGCATATAATAGTTAGAATGATGGGTGTGTGGATAGAGACACAATACTGCAAGCAGCAAGATCAAAGAAGTAAATCACATACAAAGGAGTACCCCTTAGATTTACAGCAGACCTATCAGCGGAAACTCTCCAAGCTCGAAGACAATGGTGGGAAAAAACTCAATGAAATGAACGCCTCACCAAGAATACTTTATCCAGCTAAACTCTCATTCAAACTCAATGGAACGATACACCATTTTATAGATAGACAACAGCTCATGAACTTCATAGACTCAAAAACAAACCTAAAAGAAGGATTAAAGAGGTTCTTGTAAGTTAAAAAGAAAAACACATATAAGCACAACCAACCCTTACAGAAGATGGCACAAAACCCTATGACAATAATCTCTCTCAATGTCAGTGGTCTAAATGCACTAATCAAGAGAAACAGAGTGGTAAAATGGATCCAGAAACTGAAACCAACATTCTGCTGTCTGCAAGAAACTTATCTGAACAATCAGAGCAAACACAGTCTCAAAGTTAAAGGATAGAAAACAATCCAGCAAGCAAACAGCTCCCTCAAAAAGGCTGTGGTGGTCATACTAGTATCCGACAACATAGACTTCAGGTTGAAAAAGATCAGAAGGGACAGCGAAGGCCATTTTCTATTTATCAAGGGGTACATACAACAGGAAGAAATTACACTCTTAAATGTATACTCACCTAATGAGGGAACAGCTAAATACAGATTTTCAGGAGGACATTGCTAGCAACACAATAGTGGCCGGAGACTTCAGCATCGCCTTATCACTTCTGGATAGATCAACAAGAACAAAATTCAGCAATGAAACATTGGCTTTGAAGGAAGAAATAGAAGCAAGAGAGGGCTAATAGACCTATACAGGGCTTTATATCCCCCAAAGAAAGAATACACATTATTTTCCAATGAACATGGAACATTTTCTAAAATAGATCACATGCTAGGCCACAAAACATACCTCAATAGAATCAGGAAGATAGAAGTAGTATCAACAATATTTTTAGACCACAATGTGCAGAAGATAGAAGTGAATCACACAAAGACACCGAGAAACAAATCAAACACCTGGAAATTAAACAACTCAATGTTGAATGAGTGGATCAGGAAGAAAGTCAAGGACAAAGCCTGGAAACAAAATGAGAATGAAGACACGAGCTACCAGAACCTATGGGACACAGCTAAAGCCATGTTAAGAGGAAAATTTATAGCTTTGCAAGTATTCCCGAGGAAGGAAGAAAGGGCCTACATAGATAATCTGACCTCACAGCTCAAGATCTTAGAAAAAGACCAAGAAAAGGAACCGAAACTTGACTGAAGGAAAGAAATAATAAAACTTCGAGCAGAAATTAACAACATGTAAACCCAAAAAACAATCTGAATGGTCAATGAAACCAAGAGCTGGTTCTTTGAGAAAATAAACAAGGTTGATAACCACTAGCAAGACTCACAAAGAAAGAGAGAGAGAACCCTAATAAACCAAATCAGAAATAAAAAAGGGGACACCACAACAGAAACCAATGAAATTCAAAAGATCATCAGAGACCACTTTGAGAGTCTTTATGCCACGATCAAGAGAACCTAGAAGAAATGGATAAATTCCTGGATTCCTATAATCTCCCAAGGCTGAATCAAGAAGATTTAGAGTACCTGAAAAGACCCATTCACATCAAGGAAATTGAAACTGTAACCAAAAGTCTTCCCAAAAACAAAAACCCAGGCCCAGAGGGATTCACCTGTGAATTATTTCAAACATTTAAAGAAGACCTTTTGCCAGTTCTCCTCAAGATTTTCCAGGGAATTGAAAAAACAGGAACTCTCTCAAACAGCTTCTATGAGGCAATTATCTCCCTAATATCAAAAGCAAACAAAGACACCACCAACAAAGAAAACTGTAGGCCATTATCGCCAATGAACACGGATGAAAAGATCCTCAATAAAATATTAGCAAATAGAATCCAGTAAATCAAAGAAAGATCATACACCATGACCGAGTGGAATTCATCCTGGGGATGCAAGGATTATTTAACATTCAGAAATTAATCAACATAATCCATCATATCAACAAAAGTAAAGATAAAAATCATATGATCATATCCATAGATGCAAAGAAAGCTTTTGACAAGATCCAGCACCCATTTATGATGAAAACTCTCACCAAAATAGGTTTTGAAGGAACTTTCCTCAAGATAGTCAAAGTCATCTATGACAAACCCATGGCAAGCATTATCCTCAATGTGGAAAAATTAAGGGACTTCCCTTTAAGATCAGGACAAGACAAGGATGCCCACTATCACCACTTCTGTTCAATATAGTACTGGATGTACTTGAAATAGCGATTAGGCAAGAAAAAGACATTAAAGGCATCCAGATAGGAAAAGAAGAAATCAAGCTCTCATTGTTCGCAGATGATATGATACCATATCTCGAGAACCCTAAATCCTCTACCAAAGAAACTCCTAGAAACAATAGACTTGTACAGTAAAGTTGCAGGCTATAAAATTAATGCCCCCAAATCCATGGCCTTCGTATATGCAAATAATGAGACAGAAGAAAGTGACAGGAAAAAAACAATCCCGTTCACAATCATGCTCTAGAAAATCAAATATCTCAGAATCAGCCTAACTAAAGAGGTGAAGGACTTTTACAATGAAAACTACAAAACACTACTCCATGAAATAAAAGAGGACACGAGGGAATGGAAACATATTCCCTGCTCATGGATAGGAAGAATTAACATCGTCAAAATGGCAATACTTTCCAAAGCATTATACAGATTCAACGCGATCCCTATAAAGATACCCATGAAGTTCTTCAAAGAAATAGATCAAGCACTCCTGAAATTCATATGGAACAACAAATGCCCACGAGTAGCTAAAGCAATTCTTGGAAAAAGACATGGGGAGGCATTACCCTCCCCAACCACAAACTCTACTACAAAGTGGTAATAACTAAAACAGCATGGAACTGGAACAAAGGCAGGGCTGCAGACCAATGGAACAGGGTGAAATTTCTGTACACACAACCCCAAAGGTATAAACATTTAATCTTTGATAAGGGAGTAGGAAATGTGAAGTGGAACATGGAAAGCCTCTTCAACAAATGGTGCTGGCATAACTGGACAACCACGTGCAAAATTGGGCTAGACTTCGACCTAACATCATGCTCAAAAGTCAGATCAAAATGGA